GTGTGTTTGCAAAGCTTATTACTGCCTTAAAACCACGAAATGACAATCCGTATTGGATTTCGAACAAATATTTTTACATGCATTCAAGTTGTTCTCTAAAATTATACCCACCTCACCTCCCCACCCCTCACGATAATAGGAAGCCGAGGCTTCAAAGTATGGCAACTGATTGAGGTATGAGTTCGATGGTGTATAGCTGCAAAGCTATTTTGAGTTAGTGTCGGTGAGCTGCAAGGTGGATGGTGGGGAGAGATGCTTTTGATGTCGTTGGTGAGAAAGTGACCTGCAAGGAGGCTTTCCGGTAGTGTCACCGAGCTCTAGAGTTACGGTGTTGGTAGCAACAAAATAGGCCAGTGTCGTAGTACCAGTGTTCTTTGGCGATTGGCAAGGAAGGGCAGGAAGCTAGCTGATGGCATCTTTGGGAGATAAGTAACAGAAAGGCTTGTTTGGTAGCAAGATTATAGTAGTATTTAGAGTGAGTTTGGGGCGGTTGTTGCTTGTTTATGAAGTTGTTGTAAAGTTGCTTAATGGAGAAGCAGCTTTTTAAGAGTTATTAAAAAGTTGTTAATGAAAAAGCAAGTGCATGTGTAGAAGATTTGTTCTGCTGCTGTTGTTTCTGCTAAGAAAGACCGTTTTTCTCTTATATATGTAATATATTGAAATAAATGCAGTTTTCATAATATTCAGAATTAAATAACAGAAAGAGTTCGTACTGCTAAAAATTGATAGTTCGGTCCAAAATACTCTAATACAATAAAAAAAAATTAGTTATTTGAAGCAAATGACTCTAACAGCGGTAATCAACAAGTCTAGAATGATGTTTGCCTTGAAATCCTGATGATCAAATTTTCGGAACAATCTCCTCTCCATCTCTGCATCTCTTTTTTACTGATCACGGTCTGAAGGTACCTCGTTTGTCTCATCAACACACTGAAAGTAGTCGCAATTTACAGGAGTCCTGTTTATGGGATAAGAATAAAATCTTCTTCTGTAGCTACCATTCTCTTGGACCAGTATTGAATACGTTTGTCGACACAAGAACAGAGTGGAACTTTCGAATTGTTTGATGAACTTGAGCTCATATTTTCTGTTATTATAATGTAGTATTGTTTAAAAAAATTAAGTTGACACAACATTCTAGAAATTCTAAAAAATATATAAGCAATCTTAAAATTAAGAATTAAAATTTATCGGTGCAAAAAAAAAATATACAACACAGCTTGCTATATATATTTTGAAAAAACACATCCAGATAAATACATGAAGATGAAATATAAATCATCCACTACAAATAATTAGTTGATGCTACATAGATAAGGTTGTTGCATTCACCAAAGCATCAGTAATCTCCTCTCTCAACTGTAACATCTCCTCGATACCTGCTCCCTCAGAAGTATTGTGCTCTTTTGTCCTACATTCCTCTTCTTGCACCAAAGGTCCAACTTGATATTAGTTAGTTTTCTCAAGCATGTAGGTAGGATCATCATCTAAGACTTTGAAATTGATATCTTATCATAATGGATGTCTTCGTATAAAATTATAGAGCGCAGTTGTTGCAACAACTATCTTGACTTGTTTTCTGAAAGAATATGTAGGCATATCTCGGAGTATGACCCACTTCTTTTTCTATATATCGAATGCTCAGTTGATAAAATTATTTAATGATGAGTGTCTTTTGTTGAACAACTCATTCCTCACTTGAATGTTGCGCTCAAAATCAGGGAGGTGATATCTCATGTCGGGAAATGACTTCAGAAAACCCCGTTGCAGTGGATATCTTGATTCAATAAGAGAATACTTTCTTGAATAATGATAACATTACTAGATTAGTTGAAACTAAAATATAATAGTGACGGACTAGTTAAAGACATCAACTTTGGGGAGGCATCGGGAATTTGCATTCGGGTCGCCGCGTTGCAAATTTAAATATTCTGTTGTCGTGTGTGCCCCTTCCCAACTATCCATCATGAATGTGAAACATATGTTAAAATCACATATTACAAATACGTTCTGTGTAGCAGCTCCACACCTACCGATATATGTTATCTTTCTTCATTTCCCATGCGTGCGTCAACTTTCGTTCCATCAATTGGTCATATACAATCTTATTTATAACTTTCCTTTAATTAATTGAAGGACGAATAAAGAATGAGATCAATACCTTGAAAAATGACATGTACCTCGGACCGCTACGAACTTCCTGAGGTGTTTGAGCAAAAGACGGGTCCAATGGTTTAACAATGTATGTAGCCATTTTAATTATAGAGTTAACTCTGAGCTAGACATACATGTTTATTGTCTCTATAGAGTGTTGAAAACGCTCAGAAGCTACAAGAATAGACTCATTGTACGACATAATGAAAGTGTGATAGCCAAAACCTCTCAATATCTAAATCGCGAAGATCCGTGCAAACCATATTTAGATTGCAATTCATCTGATAAATCAAAGAAAATAGTTTTTGACATCTAGGACTTGTTGTGAAACCGACTTGGATGAGCTTTCATTAGTTTACCAACTCATTTGTCACCCACAGAGGACGATAAGACACAAGGTGACCTACAAATGTGTCAACGATAGTACTCATGAATAAGACAAACTATGCTAGTAATGACTATAGCTTGCTCAGCCATCTCTATAATCTCCTCCTCATTTGGTGACTCAATTTGTTTGAAAAAATAATGTTAAGTTTATTTCAAAAGAACATGTTATTCTCAGAGTAGATAAATGCTCAAAATGCGAGAAATGAAAGTTTTAAAACTACGGAAATCGAAAAATAATCAAACGTCAGAAATAGTACACACAAATCATGGTTTACAACAAAAATGTCAAATACTACAAATAGTCATCTGTTATTGTATCAATAACTAAAAAAACATATGCATGACATCTAACTAGTCAAACTATATAAAAAATAATGGAGGTAAGAAATCCTCCATTCAGGGAGCAGTGTGAAAACAGTCTCCCATTTGTTTCGATCTTCCAGAGTTTTACAGCAAATAAGTATAGAGGCATGTCCTCGAAAATTTCTGGATTTGAATATAGTAGCTTGACAACATCTGTCATTGTTGGGTATGCATGGAGAGCAGTCTAAGCACTCGAAGTAATGTTGGTGCAGTTTGTCACCATTTGTGATATATTCTGGGATAGCTAAGCTCCCCCAACTTTATTTTAATTTTTCCCTTTTTGTGTCAAGGGTGCAGGTTGCTTTGAGTGGCTGGACTCCCCTTTCTTCCGGTTGTTCCCGGTAGACCTCATTTGAATGGGCACATTCAGGCTCATTCAAAATAGAGGTGGGCTCATTCAAAATAGAGGTGGCCTCATATTATAAGAGTTGAAATGCTATTATATATTTGGTGATGATTTAAAAAAACTAATTTTCTTGGGTGGAAAATTTTTTGTTACACCTTTTGGTTAATTGGAGTGGTTAGCAGGATGTGATAAAAATAATTAGTTATGGGATTTATTTATAATGCAATAGATGAGGATAAATGGTTAATAGCTCTGAACTTAAAAGAGGATGAGCTCAACTACAAGAAAATTTTCAAAATCATTGATAAAGGGTGCATTTTGCATGCTACATGATATCACCTTAATATGAAGTATCAATATATTGAGGATAAATTAACGAACCTTGAGAACAAATTATATTTAAATCATTGCATGAATAGGTTGATAGATGACTTAACTGAGAGGGCAAATATTAATATCTAAATTAAACTATTTAGAAATAATGAAATAGTTTTTAGACAACAACAAACAAAATATATAGTTGCCAAATTTTCCTTAGATAGTTTTTAATGTTTATCGATTGAAATAATAGAAATTTCTTCTAATTTTAATTGTATTTTTTAATAAAATTAAATAATGGAGTCATTTTGGTGATGACACTCTAGAGCTATAATAATTTACTATCAACAATTGCGCCTTACATATTTGACTCCGAAGTAAAATTGAAGTACATACAATTAAGTTCATATTAAAATAAGAGATTGTTTGAGTAGCTTCTGAATAAACTCTTTGATTTATATCATGTACAACAAGAGACTAAAGGACAACAAATTTTATGAAGAGGGTTTAAAGGATGATAAGAATCCCTTACTTTGCAATTATACGCCATAAAATGATAAATGGTTTACATGTGATGATAATAAAGTAACATCATTTGGTTTGCAACAAGATCTTAACCTAGATTTCTTTTATTGGGACAAAAGCAAGACCAATAGGTCTAACATAAGTCAACAAAAAATAAACAAAAAAGTATCTATGAAAAATTAAGTAATTGAATATAGTCATTATTTTAAATTTTAATTAATATTTTTACTCATTGTAATTAATTAGAGATGATTGAGATTAAAGATGAGGAGAAATAAGAGAACATGCTAACAAAAGTAAAAAATGAGATAGGAAAGAAAGACATCTAAATTTATAAATTTTAATCTTAATAGCTTGTTATGTTATTACTTTAAGGCAAGACAATTGAAGCGAAGAGAGTGTTGAACTTATTTTGAAGTTTTATGTTATCTATTTTTATTTTAATATTTTATTTTACTTCGATGTTTGTGTGAACCTACTCTATAATTTGATGTTAAGATGTTAATACACTACTTATTTTATGCAATTTATTATTGTTGACTTTGTTAAGATACTAATATGTTACTTTTTAATGTCTTGATAAATTAGGATATTAATACATTTCTTCCTACTTTACACTTACAATTTAGTCAAATAGTTCTTATTTTGAATAATGTATTGATTTTGAGGCTTATACCTTCAAACACCTCGAGACTTATGCCTCAAGTCAAAAACAGAAACAATATTTCAATACCCAATTGCATAGCTTTAAACCTTGATTTGGATCATAAACAATCCCAATAGATGGAAAAATTTAAAGAAAAAAAATACATTCCGTTGGAATTTTATTTGCAATTGAATAGCCCAATGGTATAAAGAAGGTGTTTGAGCCAAAAATGTATATATATATATGGTTAGAAAAACATACCATCATATCAGACAGTGGCATTTTGATTTTGGTCAGCATAATTTCAGTGTTATTGGCCCTTCTTAGATCGATCTAATGAGAAAAATGAGAAAAAAAAGTCAATACAACAGCAGTTGCTTCAATAAGAATGTAGCAGTTTCCATTGCAGTGCAAATACAAAAGTATAGTGTCTGTTCTGAATTGGACCATTCTCAAAATCTTTAAGAAAAGCAAAAGCATAACATAATTTAGGAGAAAGGCTGAAAAGGGAACCTTCAAAATCACTAAATACAATAATGTAACTAACGAGAGAAAAACTTTTAGAACAGCATGACACTTTGCATGGTGTGGTTATTTTATAAAATGGATAAATCAAATTCATAGACCAGCATATATTGACAAATATTACTATTAGTTACTTCATTGATGTGAAAATAAAAAAAAAAACCAGGGATCAATTGAATAGTATAAGATCAAAGATTATGCTCGACATTGAGTTCCCCCAAAATATAACAAAAAGACAATCTTTTAGGAAAATTTACATACATACCACACAATTCTTATGTATTTACATATTTAACATCTATTTTTTTTCTATTTACAAACATAACACCCAAATCTATAATATCAAATAAAAAAATACCACTCTTATTAACTTTTTAAAAGTGAAATACACCTTTTATGCATAGGTTTATGATGCTAAGGTGTTGTAAATGTAAATATCAAACTTTAGGCTATAGAAATGAATATCAATAAGAATTGTGTGGTATGAATGTAAATTTCCCCATCTTTTAGCATATGGCACAATGGTTATAACGAGAACTATTTATCATGATGTAAGCAATGTATAGATTTCTGTCACATTGAAATCTTTAGTATTAGCAATTTTCAGTAGCATAGTTTATATAGTAGCAGAAATGTCAACTTTTAGCTATATAGAATAATGAAATAATTACAAGCAAAGAGAATTAGTAGAGAAAACATAGTAACTGAAGTAGTATTACAATACTCTTTCTGGCTATAATATCAATTAGCTTTTTATTTCCCAAATACATTATATACGGAACACCAATAAGAACGTACCAGGCTCTGAAACTTTGGCAAGGAAATAAACCCATATATATCAGCATACAAGAAGCTAGTTTATGGGCTTTTCAATGCACAAAAGCTGTTAGTATATAATTAGCTTTCAGTATTAATTATTTCCATAACAATGAAGAAAACTTCTCTTTCAAGGCCCAGATGAAAGAAAACTCTAACAAATGAAAATATAAGAAGTTGGAAACAATTGTTGCAGCTATAGGCATAATTAAAATCTACATTTCCAAGTTTCAAGCTGTAAAAAAAAAAAAGGCATGCATATACTGGTTATAAGGAAAAAATAGTTTTTAAAATTTTAAACATAAGTATTTATCTTCTGAAAATTCTTCAACTTTATAATTATTCAAACACAAAAATGATATTTAAACAGACCATTACCATTTTAGTCAGACAAAACATTACTTGTTCCCTTGATAAATGTGAGATTTGAAATAATACCTAAAATGAGCAATCAATCATTTGATTTCTCATGGATCCCTAAATTTCTAAAGCACGACAGAAATTGTTAAAAGTGCATGTATGGGAGAAATGATGAGCAACGTGTATGAAAAAATAAGCAAAGAAAGACAAGAAAAACAGAGACTAGTAATTTACGCGATTCAATAAAAATCACTTATATCATGACCTCACAATAGATTAGGTCCACCGGTTTAAAGATGTGTGTAGTATAAATCATTTGTGCTCCTAAATATTTCCTTTCATCTCATTAATTTTTTCCCCATTTTCTCCTCTTTCGTCCCTCTCTCATAGTTTTAAACCCAAATAATGAAAAAAGCACATTTTGTTTTACCATATTAATAGCCCTCTTATCATAAGATTACTCACCTTCCTCACTTTTTTAAGCGCCATGTGTGCTGAGCCAACCTACACCCCAATTTTATGATGGTTTATCACGTATAATGGTTATTTTATGATATTGATTACATATCTGTGTGTAATGGCCTCATATGCAACCCACAATAAGAGTATACTCTTTGGACATTCATACATGCAATCATTAATCTTATGGACTATTGGCCATATACTTGTGTGATCTAATGAACTATGGTATAAGGCAACGGGGCAAGTAATTTACAATTGCACTTCCTAGCTTCTTCTAATGTCTATTTTTGTGAGCACTCTTAACTATGCAAATTTTTCTCTAGATTTTTATAAGCATTGTCTCGAAACAGGGTATATTGCTTGTTAATTTTTTCTTTCATTTTTCTCTGTCCTCCCCTCTCTAGAAATTTTATCACTTTGCTTAAGCTCCATGGCTAACATGCTTCATTCCATCGTCATTTTCGAAGGGAGAACTAAAGATAGTGGCTGATAAAAAAAACATAAAAGGTCGATCTTGGGAATAATTTCATCCGATTTTCACTTGTTTAAAACTTCATATGTGAGATTTATTTTAAAGTTGATTTCTTGAATCAATCAATGAGAAATGGCTCTGATGATTTTGTGGCTAATTTTAATTTTTTTATAGAAGAAATTTTAATATATCACATCTTTTGTGTTTCTATGCACTTTCAAAAGAATTTGTGAGATATTGATGTGTTCCATATTCCTATGATGATTAATCCAATTATTTTTTCTCATGTGCAATTTTATGTATGATAATGGTAAGATGGATATTAATCATATTACAAGATGTTAATTGTCTTTTACATGACCTAAGATGCATGATATGCATCATGTTTGAATCCATGGTGCTAATGATATACATGTATTCCTAAATACTCCATGGCATTCCCTATGCGGTCCCACATGCTCTATAGAGATGTTGATGGACACCTAAATATTTTTCTACATGAAACAACTATGCATTATGAATTTTATAATATGATGCACATGCTTATTATAATCTCAATGTGATGCATACATGATTCTACAAACATCCACTAAAGTAAATGCTTATTATTGCATGATGCATTATATTATGTGTATAAGATATAAAAATGATGACTATGAATACAAGGAATGTATCTCATGTGATAGATATATTAGCTATGAGTTTTCTATTTTAACAAATTCAAGATTATCCTGTAGGAGGGCAAATTGATTATTTTTTTTTATATTATGATAGAGCAGAGGTGCTCTATAAGTACACAGAAGAAGTTTTGGTACTAAGCACACAAAAGTCCAATTAACAAGCACCAAGGTGATGGCTTTGGCATGAATTAAGAAAGCCTATTGTGTTGACAATGAATTGATATGATGATAAGGATGATAGATGGTGATTCATCCTATGCACAAAAAACAAATGATCATACCATATCTCGCATGGACTATGGAATAATATTATGAAGTGGTCATAAATGGTTTATTACTTACAAAGTTACAAGTTTATATATCCCTCTCAATCATTCACAAGAATTTAGTAAGAGTTTGCAATACTTTAGTCCACTGGAGATAAATTGGTACGATCCAGAATATATTCTCACAAAAATTAGGGCAAACACATTTTATCTCATGAACAACAAATCAAACCAATACAACATGAATACATAAAGAAAAACACCTACAATTTGAGCGATATGTGATCTCTCCCAAGTCCTATAATTCGAGAGATAGGGAATCTCTCATTAACCTTAACCCTGACACTTACGACAACAATATCACGCATAACCCTAACACTAAACTATTAAGCCCTATTTATACCAAATACCAAACAATAAAATTAATAATAAAAGACTAAATTGTCGTGAGGCTAATAAAAAATGAAATTGCCCTTAATTAGTCTAAGCACCGGCGTAACAATACTCCCCTTAGAAAAAAGCATCTTGTCCTCAAGGTGGATAAAAAAAAATTGTTATTAGATCACTCTCATGCCTCCCCATCACACATTGTGAGAAGCTGTAATGTTTGGTCATTGGAATGATACCTTGGGCCAAATTTTTCATCACACCAAAAATATAACCCTTTTTCTTGTTTCTTCTGAATCTCTGTCTCTGTAAGATGTGTGAATGACACCCTCAGTCATGGCCCATTATTCATGTCCAGGGGAGCCACCCTTTGGACTTTTACAGTTTAAGTTTTTAGTATCATCGTGGTTGTAGCATTTCAATATAGCGCTCCACTTGTGTTGCTTTTATTAGCTTATTCAATTGCATTTTTATCTTCAACCAACTACGATAATTACATAGTTTCCCTCAATCCTTGCGATCTCAGCAGCCAAGAGTTGTATGTATGTCAAGCTTTATGTCCTTCATGAAATTTTCCTGCAATAGTACTTCAGAAATTCCCCTTAGTTGTCTTGACAATAGCTCGAATCTCTCTCTATTTCATGATAGTCCCCTCCTGAGTCAACTCAAAGAATTACTGGTGTAGATCTCTGTATCACCCAAAAATTAAGAAGTCAGGTAAAATTTTGACGACTTTAAAATGTAACCAAAATTAATCTGCATTTAAACTGCTCCCAACCGACCTCTCTGCACTTCACCGCACATGCAATCGTTGGATGTGATCAAACGGTTGAGATAAAGGAAAGAGGGTGTTAAATGTCGCAATTCCATTTACTCTCTTGATTCCTTCCTTCACACGATAGCTCCTACTCTCGATTACTATAACAGGACACAAACAGTCCAGATGCACGACCAGCAAGGAGCTGCAGGAGATCCAAAGCTCGGGGGCAAAATCGGCAAAAGAAAATCTCCATTTTAAGATATTCTAGATAATTCTTTCGTTACATTTCCATTCTGACGTATGTCACGAATACGTATACTTTTTTTTCATTTTTGATAACTGTAGTGGAGAACTTGTGTCAGAAACTACAAACTTGGTTTGTGGGCTTTCATAAGCCATTAGCAAAAAATCAATGAAGAAAATGGAGGATTAAAGTAATAGGAGGAAAATGAAAGAAGAATATGAAGTCTCAAAAAAGTGTCGACAATGCAAGAAAGGTTGTTTGAGGTATGAATTCATAAATGAATTATGTTTAAGGTTAAATCACGAAATGAGTCAAAATTTCATGAAATCCTAAGATGTTTACGAATTTCAGGTTATTTACACTAGGCGACGAGCTAGAGGTGAGCTTGTAGAAACTCATCGTGGGGTCGCTCCGTCAAGTCAGGTGAAATAATTACATGTTAACTTAAGAAAAGTAACCATCTGTAGGTCCATGTTATTATGTATTTCATACTATTGCATGTAAAGTTTCTTGTATATTGTGGATGAATAACTATATAAATTGTATGAATGCAAACATGTTGTCATTTAAGACACGTGATTTTACTACGTTATGAATATGAGGAACATTCTTATGAAATCATTGCTTGCAGTTGTTTATTAACTATGATATATACATATTATATATGAAATGCCTATGATGAATATTTGTTATATGAATTATGCATTAAGAAAAATCACAAGTGATAATATAGGTAAGCTATTGCAAGAAAACTTAAGTGCAAATGATAAGGAAGGGTGAGATTTTGACTCTTGGTATTCAGACAGTGAAGAAACTCTAGGAATCGTTGGAATCAGACGATGACGGAATGTAGGAAAATGTTGGTAACAGGAAGGGCTATGATAATTGTTATATTGGGAGGGACCAACTTTTATCAATAGTTAATGTTGTCTTCGGACAAGGTGACAATCCGATGATATGACATTACATGACATGAAAATAATTAGAGTATATACAATTACAAGTGATATTCCTACGATTATATTTATGACTTTAATGAAGATGTTAATGATTATATGATTATGATTACACATGAATGAATGAAATACATGTTTTATATGACATTCATAGCTCCCTGCATTTCATGTCCTTTCTTTCATATTTTATACATTCATAGCATGACATGTCATGTCATGAATTACATACTAGCATGCATGCTGTTTCTTTTCCTTCTATAAAATTTTATTCTAGACTTGATTATTTCGGTGAACCTGTTGTTGCTCATTTTATGTTTTTAATTTATAGGAAGAGTTAAGAAACATAAGGGAAAGTAGACTAGTGTGACTTGTACAACTTATACATTTTATAGTTTGAGAGCGTATACAGACTTTTAGAGACATATTTTTATTATGTTGGATTTAACAGTTTGGCATATATATATATATATATATATATATA